TTTTTCCCCCTTCCCCCAGTAGCTGGGACTATTAACAGAAAAATACTTGAAAGACGCCATTTGCACAAAGAACTGTCATCACGCAGTGGATAATGTAGTCAGCAACACCCCGGCCACCTTTGCCTTTCCAGGAATTTTTACCTGATACACCTTTTAGACTGGGTCTACCTGTAATGTATGTGTTTCGAGCGTGCTTCGCAATTCTGTAATGCGGGTTAGGTCACGGCTGCGTGTGATTTGGCAGCAGACCATATTGGGAAGGTTTCAACAGTAAAATCGAGAGGCAACAGAAATCCAGAAAGCAGTGGCAAACTATTGAATGTAACACTGCCTAACAATACATAAAACAATCAATATAGATTATGTGTTTTGTCCATCAAGATGATGATGACCACAAGTTTTCATCAAGTATGGGGACGAAGATGACCGATGAGGCCGATGCGGGCCCGAAAAGTTCTTGGACAGTGAGGACAGAGAATGAGCGTTGTGCCAGGGAGGGGATCTCCTGCAGTCGCCTTTCTGTCCATCCTTTTCTTAATAAATCTTGTTGTTCTGTTTGCTTCACATGTAGCCGCACCCTTGTGTAGAACTGCCCGCCATGCATTTCGGTCTTTTTGATTATAAAGGATACGCAGCTAACTTGTAAATGCCTGTGACTCAACGACATTTCTGAGAAAAACATAAATCAGATCGTAGCGGATTCGAACTCAAGGCATTCGGACTGTAAGTCGAGCCTCTAGCTATTAAACCACTTAGCACTAACGAGAGGGAAAACACGGCATGCATCTTTGCTAGCACATCACACATCGAGTGGCAAATTTGCTACAAAAAAAAAAAGTTTTTATGCGTGAGGAACGGCTGAAAAGGAATTTAGCAATTATTTCTTACGTCCTTCTTAGGACGTTATTTTTTGATATTTGAAGCCCCACTCTGGCTTTTGCCAGGGGCCGCAATATAGGCAGGTCATCATTATGGCCAAATGTCTGAACGCGGTTTCTGGGACCTCTCCACGGTGATCCTCATCCGCATGGTGGCAGTTTGTGTCATCGGGTGTTTATCGCTTGTGTGATGTCCTGGTGGGATAGAAAGCCAATCCAATCCAAAGGAATCCGAGCAAAGGGAAGTAATCGCAAAAAATAATATTTGTAGGGCATGACTTACTTCCCCGTCATCTTCTTAGTGGTTACCTGCTGTCAACTCCGGCGGAAAGTATTGATTGTTCGTCCACCTCTGAACTGTGGTCTTTTCCAGATCTTAAATTTTGTGTGAAAGTTCATATCACAAATCTGGCTTTTTTTTTTAAAGCAGACAGCTGGTTTATCGCCTTTGAGACAGATGCACTCCGACTTGAAGAAACCCGAATTAGTTACCTTTTACGACATGCTTGTTAGCCAAATCCATATTTGATAAGTCTGGATAAGCAGAAGTAGCAGGAACCTAGTAGGTCCATCCACTTATCAGGACTTCTACTTATCCAGACATCACACATAATAATCAATTAATATATATATATATATATATATATATATATATATATATATATATATATATATATATATATATATATATATATATATATATATATATATATATATACATAACTGAATCATAGAGACACACCCAGATACGGAAAATTTTCTCTAATTTCAAAGCTGAGGCACGAGTCCTCTTGTCAGTTCTGAAGACTCACCAATCGAGTGTAAGTAAATAATAAATCGCTGTATCCATAAGCTTGAAATCAGTCACCAACCCAAACTATGCCCTAAACAAGACAAGACGAGAACAAAACTAGTCCTAGATAACAACCAATGTGGGTATCCATAGAAATCAAAAGGCACTTGAGCTTCCAAAGGCTGCATGAAACTCTAACGTTGCCCTACCCGTCACACAGCTAAAAATGTAATCAAAAAAAAAAAAAAAAAAAAAAAAAAATCAACAACACACAAACATCGGAGCGAGGGAGTAATCTTTTTTCTTTCTCCACACTACTTAATGAGAAGAGGAGAATGGAACCTATATCCACTGAATTGGTAGGTGACGTGCTAACTATTTCACCATTGGGACTCCTTCAGCCGCTACGTTGAGAAGATTATTTGTGAATATTAAAAAAGTCACAGCGAACCAAGCAGTCAGCAATTTTGCTTTAAATTCACAACGAAAGCCAACTCAAGTAAGCAACTGCGCCCAGTAGAAGGACATCCATTGGCGTCGCACACGCACGGTTTCCTGTATAAGACACTTCACGTCGGTTTGTGGAATGTTCTCGTCTGTAATAAGAATTTCCATCAAAGAATTTTATTTTATGTTTTCTTAAAGAGCGAACGATTGATCATTATGCTTTTATTCCAATTGATGTTCTACTGTTTCTTCTTCTTTTTCTGCTGAGTCGGCTACTGCTGATCTACTGTTTTCTTTCTTCATTTGTTTTGTTTGTATCAGTTGTCACCAACCTGTTTCAGGGTGCTTTCCCTTGGAGTATATGCTAAGAATACGAGAAGTG